GCCCTTGGCCGACCTCGGCCTTAATTGTGACTGGCGTGAGATTTCATCCGAGCCCTGCTTATAAAGCATGCGACTCGAGTTGACTTACTCCGTCAGTCTTAGTGCCTTCATTAATTATGCTGGTTTCTGTTTTTATCCCAGCTCCTCGATTCACTAACCACTCCTCTCCGACTCTCCGACTCACTGGCGAAACAGCAATCATCTTCTGACTCTTTCTTACAACACCCCCGCAGGCTTTTAGTTACCCGGTTGCTCCGCATCGTGACAATTCACACAACCCTCTCTCCACCGGCGGATTGCTGGATCGCTGGATGGCTTGATGCAGAAAGGAAACGGCTGGGGAGGTCCCCCAAGGTGTTGGCAACTTCCTGTCCGCCGAATACGTCCTTTTCTCCATCGGGTCGCCCGGTGACTGGTGGGATGACCACGATGCTGCAAGCCCAGGCGAGCTGCGACGGAGGATAAGCGGTGCCGGCAATGTCCACGAGTTCTTTGGCCCCATGTCTGTTTTTGTTGATGCCATACCGTAAACCCTGTAACTATCCAGTATCCATGACCGTGTAGCCATGGCCATGGCCCATATAGCAGGCAGGATTCAATTAATAGACCGAGCAATTAAACTCATGGGTCGGATGATTTTTCCAAACGCCAAACAATCCGCTTATGTGGTGCTTGTATAGTTAGGGCATGGGGGAAGGGAGGGGGGGGGGGGGGGGGGGGGGGGGGGTAGAAGGATCGGAGCCTAAAGCGAACAACTGGGGGTCAATCCGTAAATCCTTCCCTGCTCCATTGTTGGTCCGTGTGTGAGAAAGTCAGAGAGATGAGAGAGATCAGTGTCAATCTGTCAATCTGTCAATCTGAATCTGTCGGTCTGTTTCTGCTTGTCGTGTCTGCCGGTCATGCCGTTGTCACGTTGCGGACGCCGAACAGTGCTCCGTCCATAGGGAAGGGAAGAGAATCCTTCGACGACCGACTTAATCTCAAAAGGGAAATCGGAGACGTTCGTATCATGTTCTCTACGCGTACTCCGTAGTCTGTACGGAGTAAGTGTAATTCCCAAACAACATCCCAGGCCTTAGCGGTCTTTCTCGCAGGATCGGATCATGACTGGCGAACGTCTGAATCGATCCTGATTGCTGGGATGCAGGAGGCAAAACCCACGATGAACAATCCAATGGAAATGTAAACAGACAGTGGGGGGCATCCCTGAGTCGCAGGAAGCTTGACCAAGAGACCAAGACGCAAGCCGCCCGCAGTCTCTGGTTCATCCAACCGCCGTCGCCCGGTCCCCGCTCGCTTTTTTCTGCTGCTCGCCTTGTCACCGATTCTTTCGCTTGCTGACCGCTTCTCTGCCGTTGGGCATGACCCTTCAATTTCCCTTAGGTTATGGTTACGGAGTATGGGAGTGAACTTGTGAAGTCAGAATGGAGAGGAGATCGTCCCTCCGGCTGTGTTGAACACTTCGGTGACCGCGAATCGACATGGTTTGGTGATGTTATCTTTATCTCTGGGAGTACAGCGCAAAGGCACCAGAGCTTGGCGCAGTTTCCCCGTCTGTATGGCGCATGTACGATTGAATTTCGATTCTCGATGCCGAACGGACGACTTGGAGGTGATCTTCCAGATTTCTCCAACACTGCCTCATCTGATCAGTCTCTCTTCTGCGCTTCGCCTTTCTTGTCATGAATGCCTAAATCTAAAATTTGATATCCCTTAACCTTGTCTCCCTCCATGTGAACTTGTCAACGCAGGGACTCGAGAATGCCCCAAGTCCAACTCATCACCGGGCGATCGCTGGTGGAGAACGCGCGCCCTTCGCCCTTTCTCACCGCGTAAATCAAGTACTGTACCTAGTCTAACCAACATGACGATGTGGTTTCGGACAGGCGCCGCAATCTTGCCAGAGCGAACGATGACAGAATTGGCACAATCCATCGTGGAACTGGATTCCAACCTACTCCTGAGTAGTTCCAATCGGCACTTTTCAGATCAGATCCGCCCGGGGGCTTCGACCGATCTTCATATCCATGTTGTACAGCCAAGATCAGACTATGTTGCCGAGTCTGTAGTTTGCAATAGTATCAATTGCAATGGGATTATTTCCGACCACCTCACTTCTTTCTTTCCCTCAACGGCAATCTGGGATCAACTGCCCAGACCGCGACCGAGAAAACGATATGGAATCGACACGCCAGATCATTGAATCTTGGTATTGAGGCGCGGCAGTCAGTTCATCAAACCATGACTCCATAGCCATAGTGCTGGGATAATGCGATAGCGTCATGGCAATGCGCGATCGGCATCCATCCGTGGATGGTTTAATTGGGTTGGCAGGGTCGTCGTCGTTTTTGTAGCAGCAACCCTGAACCAAGTGTTATCGTCCAGTTCATCGCAACGCAAGGGGTTCCCGGTCCGAGAACTTCGGTGCCTTCGTTGCGGATTCGATTGCAGGCTTCCCCTTTTGCGAATCTTGACGTCGTTGCTGTATCGACATTTGGCATACCTACCTTACCTCGATTACCGCGACAGTATCGACGACGATCACAGCCTTAGAGTGTTGGCCTTAGGTCAAGAGAGCCAAGCATTGGATTTGCGTGCTATTCACTAACACTTCTATTGTTAGTAGTCACTTACTACTAAGTAGTAAGTAGTATATCTCTATCCACTGTAGAACGACGAGAAAAGGGGCAATTGGCACGCGAAAGTTCCCCCTAAACTCAGTTCTAGTTCGCAAACCCCAACCCCAAATCATGAAAATGAAGCGCGCACAGCGCCGGTCGTGACGGCTTGAATCATTTCTGGTTCTAGTTACTAGCAAGTTAGTTTGTCTCCATCGCGAGGCTCGTTAGTCGTTCCTGGTTGAGTGGTCTACGCTTTCCGACGCTTTTGGACTAGTGACGGAGGGAATTGGAGAAGGTTGACTTGGCTTAGCCTTTAGTTAGGACTTACTCTTACCAGTTACCGGAGTAGTTATGAATTAGTACTCTGTACTCCGTATACTATAACCCCCTTAAAAGTCTCTAATTAACTAAAGAAACTAAAGTATGTAATTATGGGATGGTGCTGCCATTACGGGGCAGAATGGAGTACCTTTGATGGTTCTACAATCTACACTAGGGAACACACAATATGAATGATACATAATACATAATACTCGATACAAAATAATACACGAAAGGCTTCGGCATGGTTTGCCGTCCGTCGAGGTCACGTGGTGACACACCGGGCTGCCCGCTGGCCGCTTCATGCCGCCCGGCCTCGTGGGGGTCGCTTTCTCTCCGTTCATTGTTAGTGTTCACCGGCCTGACGTTTAGGCCGGTGGCACAACGTCTGCTTCTCATTATCGTGGTGAGATTAGGTAGTACGGAACTGTCGAATTGACCGGAGGATATTACATGTCAGTGTCTATCGTACTACTGATTCCAATCAGTTCAACCATGACTGAATACTGACAGTAAGTTATTTCCATGATTAATGAGGTTAGTAAGAACCAGCTCTAACAAGTCGGTTCAGTTGGTTACATCCACCATTACTCATCTCAGGGCTACCGCTCGAACTTACCGCCGTCGGGGGTGCTGCTACAAAATGCCTCATAGTGATCTCGACAACTCTCGGTACCAACTTTACCGAGTGAAACAGCCCGTTATCCTTGTCAGATACCTTACGGAGTACTACTCAGAAGATACCTTACCTTGGGTTTCGTCAGAGTTAACTCTCTCCCGGTCAACCCGCAGCATGTCATGAATTTCTTTGTTATGCTGTCTGCCTCCTTGTTTCTATTTTGAACTGGCAGGAAAGGCTTCCCTGCTGGCAATGAACAATACCGAATACTACAATACAGTAATCGAGTCACGTATGGTAGCCGCAGGAACCGAAGCGTGCATCAATTTTGGCGAGAAAAAACGATGCGGTGGGTCGGGGCTTGGCGGGGTTGGTTGGACCGAGCGTCTCCTAGTCCGGCTGCAGAAGAAAAAGAAGCCCAAGAGAAGATCAGATTTTTTATTTTTTTTATTTTTCGATTTCAATTTTCTCTGCCCTGTCGTTGACAGTGTGGCAACCACTCCTGAACAAGTGACCACTGACCAACCCCCCAACCAACCCAAACCTGGCGCTGCTCTCCCGCGCCCCATCTCACTTGAATTTACCCTGCATTGATTTTTCTCTTTTCTTTTTCCCTTTTCCCTCCCACCTTCTCTCTCGTACGGCGTACTTACTATACCGACGCTAGACCACCCCCCATCCAAATCATTATTCTTTTTTGCCCTCTTTTTTCTTTTTCCTTTTCTTTTCTTTTTTTTTTTTTAATTACCTTTTTTTACTCCCCTCCCCTTCTTATTTCTTTTTTTTTTTCTTTCTTTTTTATTCTCCGATACTTACTTTGGGAACATTTCTTCTTCTCTTTCCCTCTTCCTCTCTCTCGCTCTCGCTCTCTCGCTCGATCTGAATCCCACCCAGCATTGCCAACGCATTGCCTCCTGGAGCCTCTCTCGACGCGTCTTCTTCTGGCGCTCTTTGAGCTGCCATTCTTTGAAGAAGGCGTAAACCCCAAGTCTTGGCGGCATACTTGACGCTCTTGTCCTCCCCCTACTTTTCCTTTTACCCTCCTCACATACCTCCCGCTATGTGTTGTATATCATGACAATCTTCGTCCTTCACGGGACACCCTCTTCTTCCACCCCGCTGGGTCGATCTGGTTCTACTTGATCGATGTTGAGAGACTGCATCTTCTTGTCTGATATTTGATCGATGAGATTCTATCCTTCGTGTTGTATAATTCCTAATTTCTCACCAACCGCCACTTGACCTCGCTCGAGTCATACTCCCTCGACCTTTTCTCTTCACTTTACCTATAACTTGGGACCTACCCTCTTCTTGACTTCTTATTTTCTCGTTTCCTCAATTCCCTCTTATCCGAATCCTCACTAGTTATTAATCGTGAAGGAATGGCTCACTTGCGTGGTGGTGACCGACCATTTGCCTCCATACACAACCTTTTGAAGATGCTACTCTCGCCCCACCAGTCCAACAAGCCGGTCCAGCAGGACGCCGACTTGGCTGAGGACGTCGATGAACCCCCCGATCACCGGTTCCTGAGCTCCGCTCCGATCAACGTTGACGAGGACGTCGTCCGCGTCAAGTCCCCCATGACGGAACAAAAGGAATCGCTCCTCACCCGTGCCCTCAAAAGCAGCCCCGTCCTGAGCCCCTCGGAACAAGAACCGTCCGAACACACCTTCTACCGTTCCTACCACTACTCCAACATCAGTGGCATCTCGACGGCCGAATTGACGAGCGACGGAGGCCTCACCAGCCCGTCTTTGTCCAACACCTCGAGTCCCCCCATGCCGTCCCAACTGAACGACAGACCCGCCCCCATGGCAGACAACAAGGAGAAGAAGTCCGGCGGACAAGGTGAATCGGCGGTGGAGGCGAACCTGGGCCGCAAGAGATGCATCAGCTTTGCTTGCGGACGCAAAGCCGAGGAGCAGAAGGTCCAGCCTACCACCCCGCAGCGTCCCGCCGCGAAGAACTCGGAAAACACCTCTACCACCCCCTCGACCGAGCCCGTCAAGCGGAAGACGGTCCTCACCTTCGTGTGCCCGGCTCGGGCCCCAGAGACTCGCCGGGAACGTTCTCCTGCTCGTGCGGCAGCCGTCAAGCCCCGCCCTCGTGGATCCCCCGCTCCTGTCGCCCGCAAGGCTTCTCCTGAAAACAAGACGCCGTTGAAGATCGTCATCCCTCAGCAGCAAGAGACGAATCCCTCGCCCGACCGCAGAGGTGTCCCGACCAGCGGACTCGGCAAGTTCGAGGAGTCCGAGGCTACTCGCTTCCACGAATTTGCCAGTTCCGTCGAGGAGGATGACGAATGGGTCACCAAGTCTGCCGACTACAAAGAGAAGATCACTCTGAATGACTGCATGAAGAAGGAGATTGCCATCCGGAAGCTGGGAGAGGAAGCCGAGGCGGAGGCCCTGGACGACGAGGATGAAGACGAGGACGACGATGAGGATGACGATGAGGACGACGATGGCGATTCCACTATCCACGATCTCTCGTCTGATGATGGAAACGAGTCTGACAACGAAGCTGGTTTCGCCGACTCGGATGAAAGTGACGGCTCGGAGTACGAATTCTGGGCGCCCGCCACGACGACCGCCGCCACCAGCCCTCAGACTTTGGATATCCCTCGTCCCGCCTTCACTCGTCGGGACTCGAACACGTCCTTTGACTCGTTGAACGACGACAACAAACACCGGAGGTGGCCTCCCGCTCTCTCCGTGCAGGGTGGCAGCCGTCCAACCAAGATCCCGAAGATGCGTCCCAGCACCCCTCACCTCCCCGACAGCACGGACTTCGTTTGCGGAACCTTCGATGAAGACCGTCCGCTGGAGGCTGCCTACAAGTCCTGCATGGAGCAGCGTCGTCTCTCCAAGCAGATCCTCATCCCTCAGGATATCGACCCCAGCTTCCCGACCTCGGACCCGGAGGAGGAAGATGAGGAGGATGAGGAAGATGACCTCGCGGAGTCTATCATCGTCGACGAGGCCCCGCGCGGGAGAGCCGGCCTGGAGCAAGCTCGCAAGCCTTCTCCTCGTGGCTCTCCGAAGCGGATGGTTTCGCCCCCGCCTCGCCGTACTGGTCGCCTTTCCCCCCGTCGTCTGCGGTCCCCGCCTCCCCCGATGAAGCTGAAGTCTCCCACCAAGGGTGATCGGTCGCCGGCCGAGGGAGTCCCCAACTCCCGTCCTCAGGGTCTCAACATCAGTGAATTGGTGCAACGGCCGCACATGACCCGTACCAAATCACTGCCTCGGACTCCCAACCCCTTCTTCACCAGCCTCGACAAATCTCACAAGTGGCCCGGCGTTGCCTCCCTTGGAGACTCGTCGGAGCGCGATTCTTCACGTACGCGTGAAATCCACACTCGTGGTCCCATCGACATTGTCGAGGGTCTCGAGAAAAAGCGCCAGAAACGCAAAGAGAAGTTCTGGCGTCAACACTGCCGCAAAGCTGCCAAAGAGCAGATGGAGCGGCGACGGCCACTCCCCGGAAAAGGAGCCGAACGGATGAAGGACCTTGGCCTCGCAGTTGCTGAGAGGTGCCGGGCTTACGGCGTTGGAGAAAACGCTCAGCTCGTCCTATCCGTTTAGGTTCTCTACTTTCTTTCCGATTGGATCGAAAAGGGGATTTGTGTCTTTCTTGTAAATATTGAATATTGGTTATCGGTCATTCGCTCCATTGAACAGACCTGGAGTCGAAAAATGGTGTACAGGCTTCTGCGTGATCATTCGCTATGCACCGGCCTTACATTCTTATTGTTTTTTTATTTAACGTGTCCCATGGTCTTTTCTTTTCTTTTCTTCTGTTCTTCTTGGAGGGCATCTGTCTGCATTTACTGGGCGATCGCTTTTCTTGTCTTTCTTTTTTCTTCGCTATACATATTTGTTACGGAGCATTCTCTCAGCTCGGTGATGAGAGAGGTGACTGTCTTTGGAAGGTTTTGACCATTGCCTGGGTTGGGTTGTCTTTTCTTGCATGGAGGGTGGTTCAAATGGAGTATACCCCTTTGGTTGTTGAGATGTAGATAGGTTCCATGACAGGCCTTGGAGCCGTTAATGCAAACATTCAATTAATTCTGTGACTTGAAGTAGGATCTACAAAGATGTAGAACTTATTGGAATCTGAAGTCTCAGTGACGATAGTATGGAACGTGACGATTTGCCGCCGAAGATCTCCGGCGGTTAGGAGTTGCGTGAGGTGGCTTTAGCGCTCGGCTAAGCGTGCAGACAAGCGAAAGTCCAACGTCAACCATGTCGGGCCACCGCAACAACTTCTTCCTCCTCGCCGTCTTATCTCCCCTTCTTCCCACCGCGCTTTTTTTTACTCCCTCTTGCACGTTTCTCAGCGTCCTGTCGAGCCCTTTTCCATTTCTGAGGTCTGAATTTCTTCGCTCTTCTCCACCATGTGGATCATCAACTGGTGTAAGTAGAGTAGTTCCCGTGGCGTTGATTTGGTTTGGTTTCTCTTCCCCGATCGTCCTCGGTCGCTTTTTTTCGAGGAGATCGTCGGGGCTGTCCTTGTGGGACTTTCTTTCTTTGCTTTACCCCTTTTGCAGTTTTTATATTATTTGTGTCATTTGTTTCTGGTCGAATGGTACTGACTTCGTCTTCTCTGTGATTAGTCTATGACATGCTGGCCTCCCTTGGCCTGCTCAATAAGCATGCCAAGCTTCTCTTCCTCGGTCTGGACAACGCTGGAAAAACTACCCTCCTGCATATGTTGAAGGTGAGCTTTTTCTGTCTTCTTCTGTCGTTTGCTTCGTGGCGGTCTATGATATCTGGAATTGGATGAGTTGTCGTTCGACCGCAATTAGACAGGGGCGGTCAGTCTGGGACGGAGCTAGGGAGGGATGGACCTACAATATCGTGGCCGCTGGATGCATATGGACAGAATAAGCGATTACTGCAATGGACTTGAATGCTGACGGGATACTTCTAGAACGACCGGGTTGCGCTTCTCCAGCCTACCGCCCATCCGAGTACGTTTTCCCAAGACCTACCCACCGAGACCACAACTAGAATTGGCATGATATGGATGGATTGGATGGATGGATCTTGCGCAGAAGGGAACATATGAACTAACGGATGGACTCACTAGCATCGGAAGAACTTGCGATTGGCAACAACCGTTTCACGACCTTCGATCTGGGTGGTCACCAGCAGGGTAAGCAGCCTCGACCGACTTCTTCCTGACCTCGTCTAACGCCGATATCTCCCAATTAGCCCGTCGTCTCTGGAAGGATTACTTCCCCGAAGTCAGCGGTATCGTCTTCCTCGTCGACGCCAAGGACCACGAGCGTTTCCCCGAGTCCAAGGCCGAGCTCGACGCTCTGCTTGCCATGGAGGAGCTGGCCAAGGTGCCCTTCCTGGTCCTGGGTAACAAGATCGATCACCCCGATGCGGTCAGCGAGGACGAACTGAGACACCAGCTGGGTCTGTACCAGACCACGGGTAAGGGCAAGGTTCCTTTGGAAGGAATCCGACCTATCGAGGTGTTCATGTGCAGTGTTGTCATGAGACAGGGTGAGTTTCGCTGCTTTCCTTGCTGCTTGGGTTGTTTGAGTTCATATGCTAATGAGTGAAACAGGATACGGCGAGGGTATCAGATGGTTGTCGCAATACGTTTAAATCGAGTATAAGCGCGTGGAGTCGAGTCTAGCTTTGCCCTGTCGACCAGGACTTGAGGGTGGCATACTTGACTGATTCTTCTGTCTTATCTCGATACCTACCACACCCCCCTCTTCACACACTGTTAACAACCACCACACTACTACTTCTGGTCATCTCCACATCATATCCTCTGTCTCATACCCAGCGCAATCCGTCATGTCCAGCTAGCTCCGTCATAGCTCATGCATGACTTTAATTGCTAGCTACCAATCTACAATCTACACGTTCATCTACAACTACCATGCGGTAACATCGCGGTAATGAATGTCTGATCTGTTTGTTTGTCTGTCTGCTTGCGACTGAAGTATTCATTCACTGATTGAACTGATCGATTTATCATTCTTACCGACTGACTACTTGCTACCCCACCTTGTCATCCTATCTTGCCTTATTGTTTCGTACCTGTCTGCCTATCTGCCTATCTGTCTACCGTCCCATATTGTCCGTTTATCTCTCGATCTAGCTTATCTCAATCAACTTTATTATATACCTGTTTGTTTCCTCTATTTATCTAGACCTTAAATTGTTTACTGGATGGATTGAATCTACCTATCTATCTATCTACGTAATGGTTATAGAATAATCGTTTCTATTTATCTAGACCTTAAATTAGCATACATAACACACATATTAAGACAATCCACCCCATATACTTATCGTATGTACAAACTATGTCCAAACAAAGGAGAATGAATGGACAAAGACAACCTACCCTAGAGAAAGCAGGTTCGTTGTACATACATACATACACACATACACACATAGAGGTGTTTCACTTTCACTTTCACTTCACTTTACTCATTTCACTCCAGCAATAGTCAACTCACCATAAAGGTCAAATAGACTTGGTTTCCTAGGACTTCGGATTCATGTATATATCCAAATCCAAAGATAAGCATGGAATCGAATCCACATTCATTTCCACATCCACATCCACATCCATATCTAGATCCAGATTCAAGCCAAACAACAAGCGAATCAGATCTAATTCTAGACCCAGATCCTATGTGGATGACCAAGTAGCTCAGCTCAAAGAACGTATCTACCTATTCATATGCGCGAATTAAGTTGCAAGAGGAGAGTAGTTTCAAAAGACATAGACAATGTCGTTGCTTATTTGTTGGCATTACACTCACAGAAAGATCTCTCTCAAAAAGGAATCAGGAAAAAGAGAAAAAAAGACAAACGGAGAAGTAAACACCAGATGCAGCCCGTCGCTTCCCCTTCCTCTGTCAAAAAATTTAGACAACACGCGGTTGGTTAATGAGAAAAATTGACGATGGGGAGGGAGAAAGAAAAAGAAAAAATAAGGGAAAATAAACAAGGCGAAAGTAGAAAAGAATATAAAGGGGGGAAAGAAGAAAGAACACCAATTCCCTACTGACAGGCGAGAAAAAAAAAGTACCCTTCCGAAGAGAGATTGTTAGGAAAAAACACCTTTCAGCGCAAAAAACAAACACTATGACAGTCGAGAATCCTTTGGCTGAAAACAAAAATTGATTGGTATTCGGGGAGAGTAAATCAAAGATAGGACCGATTCTGCATTTCATGGCGTATAGGAAAATAGAAAAAGGTCGCGGGCGGGTTCTTCGAAAAAAAAGTCAAGATTTTTTCCTCATATGTAATTGCGGTTGCCGATTCGTCTATCGCATAAAGCCATCGATGTCGTCGGGGAGGGTGGGAGTGGGCGTTTTTCGATCTCTCGTGTTATGGCGAAAGTTGGATTGGATTTATGACGTGTTTATCTCCGCCCGAACCTGCTGCACATGGAAAAGCTCGTATGATTCCTTACTTCTTCTTTTGCTTTCGCGGAGGAGTGATGGGTCTGCCTGAGCTCATGCCCCCGTAAACGTACTTTTGTTTCTTCTCTGCTGGTTTCAAGATCTGAAGGAGTCACGTTAGCCAGTGACAGCATAATATTAGATCTGTGCAACATACCTGGAACGAACACAATAGACTCTCATCTACGCTCATCATGGCGCCAGCGTTGTCGAATTCACCGCAGTAGTTGGGCGCACTGAAAAGCGTGACTAGTTGTCGCTTCGAGAAGAACTCGTAACCGTCCTCGACGACTTGGTGAGCGCGACATATTAAGTCCATGTCGTGTTTCTGTAGGAATCGGGAAACGACATCGGGCCCGAATGTAAACGACACACCACGATCGTTCTCGCTCCACCCGGTGATATCTTTGTCGGGATCGGACCAGAGAAGGTCACAGAGGAGACCGCAGTCGGGGATCTAGATTGGTCAGCAAGTCAACACTCGAGCTGCTCGGAGCCCCGCGGAAAACAAAGAACATTTCCCTCGCCGAAGAGGATCTCGCCGCGACCAACGCAGCAGGGTCGCTTGATCCCAAATCAAGGAGAGATAAGAGCGAATAAACGAGGAACTTACATCGGTAGGACGCATGACCCGACGGATCTGCTCCATCGAGTTCAAGTCGGGGCTAAGACCACCGTGCATGGTGAAGATCTTCTCGTCGATGATGGCGGCAATGGGTAGGCAGTTGAAGCAGTCGGTGAAGGTCTTCCACAGCTTGATGTTGTACCTCCGCTTGCACTCGTCGTAGAAGCCGTAGATACGGTTGATAGACGCGCACTCGTGGTTGCCACGCAGGACAAAGAAGTTCTCGGGGTATTTGATCTTGTAGGCTAGCAGAAGGCAGATGGTCTCGAGCGACTGCTTGCCACGGTCGACGTAATCTCCGAGGAACAGGTAGTTAGCCTCCGGGGGGAAGCCACCGTACTCGAATAGGCGGAGTAGATCATAGTATTGGCCGTGAATATCACCGCAAATCTGTCCGTCAGAAACGTTCGGGTTAGTTCGCGAAATAAAACACTGCCATTGCCTCCTCCCCGGGCATTGCCGGGATTTCCCCCTCAAGGAAAAGAAATTGCAGTATTTACCTTGATGGGCGCTTC